TTTTCAGAGTCTCAATCTAGGTGAGTTAAAACCAACTTCTATATCTCTTTTACTTGCCGATAGATCTGTAAAAGTGCCTAGAGGAATAATTGAAGATGTGTTAGTACAAGTCGATAAATTCATTTATCCTGTGGATTTTATTGTCTTGGACACAGAACCTGTTGAAACATGTAATTCATTTCCTGTTATTTTAGGACGTCCGTTTCTTGCAACCTCTAACGCATTGATTAATTGTAGGAATGGACTGATGAAGCTATCATTTGGAAACATGACATTGGAGATGAATATTTTCAACATTTGCAAGCAACCTGGAGATGATAATGATTTACAAGAAGTAGATCATATTGAGGAATTAGTTTATGATCAACTTGAATCTACTTTAAGTAAAAATGAATTGGATAAAACTGAAGATTTGCAAATGATTTATTCTGAGGAAGAAATCACGGATGAAAAACGCATAGAAAATGTTGATGCGAATCTTTTGTCAACAATGACAACAGATTCGACATCTGACATCACACCAATCGATGATTACTTTCCTAACGAATCCTTACTTTCTCTTAGTCCAATGCCTTGGTATGATAAAAATATTAATTTTCTTGCTTTAGGAGATTTGCCAGCTGATTGGAGTACCCAAGACAAAGAAAAGTTTTTGAATGAAGTGAAGAGCTTTTATTGTGATGACCCTAACTTATTCAAATATTGTCCTGATCAAATATTTCAAAGATTCATTCCCGACAATGAGGTAAGTAGTGTCATTAAACTTTGTCATTGTGAAGCATGTGGAAGTTATTTCTTGTCAAAAAAGACAGCTACAAAAATCTTTCAAAATGGATTTTATTGGCCCACCATGTTCAAGGACACACATGCATTCTGCAAAACTTGTGAAAATTGTCAAAAAATTGACACTTGTCAAAAAGTTTTGTTTTATGATTCTCAACTCTATGCATTCCCTAAAGAGCTAAGATCAAGATGGAGCAATCCTTATGGGGCCTGTGATATTGAGAATTCAATGAATGACAATGATTTTAAGGAAAATGGACATTGTTTGAAAGCTTACTTTGATAATTTTCCTAGTGAAAATGAATCAGCTGGTTTGAATGATCTTGTAGATAAAGGTTGATTATTTTGTTTTTCTCACATTTTCTTTTTTGTGTTTCTTTTCGAGTGATTTTTGCTAGTTTCTCTCACCCCGGTCAAATGGCAGACAACGGTACTCCGTGACTTAAGTCGGTTCTTTCAGTTTCCCACAATAACTGATATTTGTGTATATATTTGTGCAATTCTTTGAATCTCTCTTCCAATTCTCATTTGAAAATGGACACTAATCTTGAAAAATTGAAAAAGTATTTTCCCGCTCTGCCTCAGAATGCGATTACAAAAATTTACCGTGCTAGATGTGCAAGATTGAGATTATTAATGAATCATGGAATTCCTGAAGATATTCGTTGGTTGATTGAAGCAAAGGTCCGATTATCAGGTGAGTCCTCTAACTTCATTTCACACATGCCTGGAACAGGTAAAAGCACTTTTGCAAAGAAACGTCGTGCAAAACGACTAGAAGTCTGTCATCGATGTGCTAGATGGACTTGTAATACACAATGTCGTTCTTTAGGAATGGTATCTATAAACCGTGAAGATAAAATACAATTCATTAAGGATGGCCTGAGTAAGGAGTCTTTAGATAATCTTCTATTGACTCTTGAGACGCATCCTAGTGGAGATGTGCATCGTGCAATTCATGATTTATGGCCACTATTTCATAAAGAACATGATAGACTTAGTCTTGGGAATCTGACTAAAAAAGACCCTGTTTGCCAGTTTTTAAGAAAACTGGATGGGAAGCCTATCCCCGACCCATAGAGGGCGTTTAAGCCGTTCTTGGACGTAAAACCAAGGGAAGATGTGAGCCACAATCACAACTACCTGTACATACACATGCTTGGTTTTATTATTGTGTTTTGTTGTTTCTTATATTTGTTTCAGTGTGTTTCAGGTTTGTCAGTGTTCGTTATTTCAGGTGATATCTTCTATACTCTATCTTTCTACCTTAGAACATTGAGGACAATGTCTCGTTTTGGTTGGGGGGAGAGGGTAGTAGTTGATAAAAAAAAAATTGTTTTTCATTTCATAAAGCATGTGCATAATTGTTGTTACTAGGATGGCAGAGTAAAGGAGTTCTTTTGTTAAAGTGACTCTTGAGACGCATCTTAGTAACCATTCTTAACAAGGTCTATTATAATACTTCCTGAAATATTCAGGTTTACAAACTCTCGTATTGTTACCACTTAATTCTGCTCATATACTTATTTAACATGTATTTTTAAACCTTAATTTACACACACACACTTTAACATATGATTGTGGGTTGCATATTGGATTATTACATTATTTATGTTCTTTTGTTAAAGGTAACAACTAAGGGAAAGGGATTGTATATAATTAAAAAGAAAAAAAAAAAAAAAAAAAAAAAAAAAAAAAAAAAAAAAAAAAAAAAAAAAAAAAAAAAGAAAAAAAGAAAAAAAAATGATGATAATAAAAATGTAGATAAGTTTGGTTTCGTAGCCTCCCTAACCTAAGCAATTAAGCCCGAAGGGGTGTTTTAACACCTAATACCCTAAAGTCAACTGACTTGGGAGCTATTGGCCCAACGCTTGTTACATGGGTTGAGGAGAAAAGCTTAAGGGAATCAAACATTGCACTATCTACATATCAGTATCTGCGACCCGAGTTACTAAGCTCGTAGGGGTGTCTTAACACCTAATGCCCTAAGACCAACTGGTCTGGGAGTCATTAGCTGAAAGCTCATTACATGGGTTAAAGATGCATGATGTTTTTAAAGTATATGTATATAGAGTTAAAAAAAAAAAAAAAGACAAAAATAGTAATCCCAACCCAAGGAAGTTAACCTTAAACATTAGAACAAAAATTTTGTTTTCTTCCAAGAAAAGCCCCATAATTATGTGTTGATACATTGAGCACAAAAGAAAGGTTTATTAATATCTTGTTAAGAGGTATTGAGCAGATATATAAATTTAATGAGAGTTTGTTTATCTGGATAGACTAATGGAAGTTAAATGATGAATACCTTGCTTTGTGAAATTTGCAAATTTGTTTTCTATTTTAACGCTTTGATTACTAGGGACTAGTAATAAGCTGGTTGGGGGGTGTGATTAGTACTTAAAAGTGCATTTTTATCATGGTTTTATATCATCATTTTGCACTTGAAGTATCAATAACTCCTTAACTAAAATATGTTTTATAATAATGTATCTAATAATATAAGATACCTATAATTTATGGTAAATGTCTATTTTTAATGCAGGCCTATCACATAAATGAAAGGATTGATTGATGACTTGAAGAACTTAAATTGCAAGGATAAAGAGATGGCCAAACTTAGAAAAGAGATGTCGGTGCAATCCAAACCGGAACACTGTTCGGTAATTGGGTCATATCTGGAGCTACAGATCTCAGATTTAGGTCCAATTTATATGGATGGAAAGGTAAGACATAGGCCTACAACTTTCATATGGAGCCCAAGATCTAAAAAGGCCATTATCAAGTCCAAATTGTAGCAACAACAAAGAAGCCCGAATCTGTCTTCCAGCCCGAGCACTATTCGGTATTTTGGCCATATCTGGAGTTCTAGAAGTCCAAATGAGCTGAAATTTTTACACAAGAAAGCTGAGACAATTGCCTACAACTTTCATGTTTACAACTGGCTCCAATTTTGACGTTATCAATGACGTTTTGGGCAGACAAGAGAAGATAAGGATTGTCACCAAGTCAAAAGTTGGTCACCCACTTATCAATTAGTCATCAAATCAATAGTTCCCATTTTTGGCCTATAAAAGGAGGCATTTGCCATGCATTTAGGCATCTTGATTTCCAGATCAAGATCATGCTCTTCCTTTCTCTCTTTGTATTTTTTATGCTTTGTTTTCATTAATATTAAGTTTATGCCTTTCATTTCCTTTCCTTTACTTAGTTAACTTTTATGTTCTTATTTTGTTTATCTATTTTGCTTTCTTTCATTATGTCTAGCTAAGTTAATTATGTCAAGGTGAAAAGGTTACACTAATGGTGTAAGAATAAGTATAATGTAAACTTAATATGGACTTTAATGTTTGATACTAACATGTTTTATATTTGCTATCTTGTTCACTCTTTAATACTTTGCTTGATAGCTGATGATCACCACGAGATAGAGAGAAACACAGAGAGAGAGCTAAGGGTGAGAGTTGAGTTGAGTAGATAAGTTTTCTCCTCCTCCTTGTTTTCTTGTTTGTATTGCTTTTGAGCTTGATTAATACAAACCAGTAGCTCCGTGAAGTAGGCAAGTTGCCGAACCACGTAAATTTGTGTGTGTTTGAATGTTTGGATCACCTAACAACTGGTATCAGAGCTTGTTCTTGAAAGTTCTTGAAAAAAAGGGTGTTTGATCCAAACTCAAAAATCAAAGTTCTCAAAACGTGTTTTTGAACATACCACCGTGAAGAGGACGACGAGTTTAAAATTCTGATTTTCTTAAGTACACTCTGCAAGGTTTAAGAAGTTCGCCCGCATCTTGTCCATCCTATAGCCAACTAAAGGCACATTTGAAGAGCTTATACTCAAGCTTTGTATGTTATATATACGATTGATTATGGCAATGCAGGATTTTACGAATAGGACTAGCTTCTTCACATGGATCAACGTTCTATCATTGTGACAAGTCACATTCAATATAGAATTTCTATGGTTTCTAGGGCTTCCACATATATGAATTTATGTGTTAACTGCCCCACTTTATAGGATTGAGGCAACTCAATTCATTGGCCCCTTTCTGGTCTTTTTTCTTCATATGATTGCTCCATGACAAGAGTTCTGCACAGAGGAGGTATAGATGGTTCTCTATAGAGGTTGAAGTAAAAAACTGAACATCCAAAACAGTTGTAATGCAATTGTTAAGGTGGCATGATTGGATTATGTAATTTGGGCCTTTTTCTTCAACGATATCCTCAATACTTGCCGTCCATATTAGGGTTTTCTTGTTTTTTTTTGCGCGTGCATGTGAAGCCATGACACTACCTTTAACAGAAGGATCAACAACCCACTAAATTTAGTTTCTCTAGGTGGGCAATTGCATTGGGGAGGCTATCATTGCATACCATTAAGGATTCCCAGCTGGGGGATTGAACACGTACCTAACAGTGTATATGGAACTTATCTTTCAGCGTGTAACATCATCACATTTGTAGAAAAGTTTAGAAGATGGCAATGGCAGCACCCACGTTCACACCACCAACGAAAGTACTAGACAAAGAGATTTTGAATAAATCAATGAACTTATAGAAGTGATACCAACTTTCTTTATGACAAGCAGCAACTTGAGGCATCTAGCTTTCGAAGGTTTCCTGTAATAACATATAGAGAACTCCCGCTCTTTTTTTCACTCTTTTTCAGGCAACAAGTTCTTATGTCAACTACGAGGACCAAATCCAGGACAAGCTGTCCTTATCACATGGTTCCTAGGCTTTTTCTGGTCACAAAGAAAACGATATTGCAACAACAGTACCAACTATAAAGAACACCGTATCATGATACATGATAAAACTTACAGCGCTAGAAATATCCTTCTTAGAAACACCATCATCAGGGCTCTCTGACTCTGCTTTAAGCTTTGGTGCCGGTGCCGGTGCCGGTGGTGGAGGTTTAGGGGTAAATATATCCAAAGGAAGTAGCACCTTGTCAACCTGATATATAGCAAGATTGGTGTCCGTGTATACAGTGTCAGAAATGGTGGTGTTGGTAAGTCCTGTAGATATGTTCAAGGAGTTCCCACTGGCGGTAACGTTAAGCTGAAACCTAGCACCAGATCCAGCGTGTGTTTTTAAAGGGCTACTCACGGTATCAAATTGGGAAGATGAGATGAACATAGGGACAATGTGAAACTGCATCAACTCGACCTTCTCTTGATCAGTTAAGGTGCGGAGAGTGCCTGTTTTAAGGGCTGAAAATGCACTATCGCTTGGAGCAAAGATGGTCAAGCCATTGTTTGTGTTGCCAAGTTGGGAGTTTAGATTGCTATCCAATTGAGTGGATTTCAAGAGGCGGATGAAGGTCTTGAAGTGGCCAGCCTTTTTGAGTATTTTGATGACATTAGTGGGGCCGGGTGGTGCAGGAGCGGGCGCAGGTGATTGAGCTGTGGTTGTGGTTAAATTGATGGAGAGAATAAGCAGATACAATGAGATCAAGAGGTGTTGTAATCGTTCCATTTTTTCAATGTTGTTTACCAGTAGTGGTGACCTGTTTTGTTTGCAAAATGTAAATGTGGGAGTGCTTCGCTGCACAAGTGTTAGATTCACAAAGAGAGGCCTTTAATAATGGAGAGGACCGAGAAGAAAACGAAGTTAGGTGTAACCTGCAATGTGATATTAGTGAAAAAAAATTAGGTGTTTGGTGCCTCACCTTTCACGAAAAAGGGAAAAAGAAAATCAATTGAGAGGGATATAACAGCAACTTGTTTGCTTAGAGTTGAAGGGAAATAGGGTTTTGTCAAACTATAAAAGAGTATTCGTAAGCAAATGTGAGATTGTAAATACCAGAGTATCGTAAATACCAGAGTATCACTGTTTTTGGAAGTCAATATAGGGAGGGAGGGAGGGATGGACTTATTTTTCAGGTATTATGGTTAGTTTTCACTGAATTTGACCACCAATACTTGTATTTCAGAAAGTTTTGTTTCGTGAAGGATGTAATCAGCAGCACAATTTAAAACATGTGACTGAAAGTGTAAGGTTTTGACCACCAACACAGTGTACAATACCAAATCGCTTTTAAAACTAACACAGGCGCCAAAGTCATAGAACAAGCGTGTTATTGTCATTATAGCTTTAGGGCATCAAGCACGAAAAAGGGAAAGAACATGTGGAATGTGCTATTGGTTAATGGAAGTAGAAGACAATTTCAAACCAACAGTAAGGATCAGCCATTGCCTACCATCCCACCATTTAAATCTGCACCATGCTACACCCATAAAATTCAATTTTCCCACATCAGCACGCCAAATGAAAGCAATCTATTAGAAGGGTGGACCGGTGAACAGTAATAGCATCTAAAATTACTAGTGGCATGTCAAGCGTCAACATTATATTATTCAAACCAAATAGATGGTTTCATGTCAAGTTATATTCTGATGTTGCCAATGGTAATTTTATGAGAGCACCAAAGGTACTGAGAGAAACCTCTGCGAACCTTTTGCTAGGCTCTAAGACAATTGCGATGCTCACAGAGAGAGCTGCTCCATGTTTTTAGCATTTCTTGGCGCTCCGAAACCTATCCTTCTTTCTCGCTCATCATATGGGTTTGCTCTGTAATTAGAACTTGCCTCTTCATTATCAGAATAGCCGGGCCTTTCAGTTAGGAACTGTTCCCAGAAAACATCATTCACTCTAACTGGAGCTGATGGAGGTGCTTGATTGTTACTTGGGGTCTCCTGGGAGGAGGATAAAACTCTGCCCTCGTTACCCAGATTTATGTTGTTCTGACTAGCTCGGATATCAGAATCTTTGTTACTCTCATTAAACCTTGATTCTGGAGATTTGCCAATTTCCTGGCCTAGTTGAGGTATCCTAGTTAAATAAGGATTTTTGTTGACTTGCAAAGGAGAAGATGCCAGACTAAGATTTAGCTGACAGGAAATATGACCGTCAACTTCTTCATTAGAAATCAAATTCGACTGCAGTGAATGTAGTGCTGGGCTCCCATTTGCTGGTATGTCTTTTGGGACAGCTGGATTCACTTTAAATGCATACGATGCCCCTGTGTCTGAAAGTTCTAATGTTTCAGGTGCCAATAGCAAACCTGATGTCCTAGTCAGTGCATCTTTTGGATTCCCTTCAGATATTTTTCTTTGTGGGCTTCCCCCATCTTCATTGGAGCTCTGTGTGCTGTGTGAAACCAAATTACTATCTGAAACAGCTGGTGACAATTCCAGTCTCAACTTATCTGGGAAATCTTGATGGATGACATTCGACTCAGGTCTAGAACTACTGTGGTTTTCCACAAGACTATTTTCTGCAATTGGCATTGGGTGATCAACTTGGGGCAATCGTCTCTTCTTGCTATAGGCTGAAAAATCCATAGCTTCAATCTTGCGAGCAAGGTGTTCAACAAAAGTAGGGTTTTGAACAGCCTTCTCTAAGAACGACAGCAGCTTTTCCTGCCTCTGCTGCATAGTATCTATCTTCTGTGTTAGATCTTCCACCTGTAGCTTTGCAGATGACCGCTGCTGTTCAAACCTTAGAATACTTGCCTTGAGTTTAGCTTTATCACGTGCAAGCTTTTCTATTTCTTCCTCATATGCAGCTCTTTCTGGATCCACTAAAGAACCTTGAGGTTGACTATGACTGTGGATTGGTTTTCTTCGGTGGATATTCTTAAGCAGGTGCTTTTGATCTTTCACAAAATCTTCATTGGCAAATTCCCATCTCTCAGGATCAATCTTTCTAAATCCCTGGCAACAGAAATTATGCCATGCTAAGTTAAGTTGGCTTTAAAAAACAAAATCCTCTACATATAGACAATAAGCTAATTAAACCCAATACAGTCTCCCCTCTAATTTAGATAATACCTTAGAAAATGGGAAATTTCTCTTACCAAAAAGCATACACGATTGATGTTATTCCAACTGAAGAGCTGTTAACAATGTATAAGGCAGTTTGCACACAGTCCGAGAAGTGTTTTGTGAAGCAACAAGTGATGAGAAACTTTTAAATCCAAAGGTAAAATAGAGAGCATGAAAACAAGACGAATTCTTCACTATGACAATCCATTTCAGACCCAACTATCATTGCTTACAAGGACAAATTTGCATTCCATCTTCGATTATTAAGGCTCTTCCTTCATAGCTGACAATTAGAACATGCATAACATCTAGAAATTTGCAAATTTCGCTAAAATCAAACATCGTTAAACTTTCAAACCCATACATAAAAGAGAGCATGAAAACAATACGAATTCTTTTCTATGACAATCCATTTGAGACCCAACCATCATTGCCTACAACAACAAAATTGCATTCCATCTTTGAATATAAAGGCTCTTCCTTCATTACTGACAATTATAAAATGCATAACATGTAGAAATTTGCAAATTTCACTAAAATCAAACATCGTTAAGTTAATCCATTACCCACCAATATTTCCTGCCAGTCATTTACTTATTTTTATCAAATAATTCACAACCATTCTTTCCAAATACATGTTCTGTACCAAAACCCAGCCATATTGGGAATGACTGAGCCAACACAGCAAACTAGTATTTTAGCATCTGATAAACGAGCTGATTCCGTCGTTACACATTCATTCAATATTAAACCAGATCACAGACGCTTTGATTATGCCAAGGGCTCCTGCATCTAAAATAGATACTCAGACTACAAGTAGTCACTAATCTATACTCAGATTACAAGTATTCACTAATCTATCTTCCAATAAGGATTATTGATTCTTCCATTTCTAAATCTCCCCATCCCATCAAACCATTTCCTCAATCCGCGGCCAGCCTCTAAACCCAAACCCTGCACTTAAAAATGATCAACTCCCCAACAAAATGATCAACCATTTCTACACTTAAAAAGGCTCTAAAGAAAAAAATTTCTTCACTACCAATATTCATTCTATCATGATATCAAGAATTTCAATTTAGAAAAAACCCTTCGACGACTCATTTGCCACAAAGATTCAAACTTGTAACAACAAAACCAAAAAGGAAACAAACTTTAGAGCACTCACATAGGTGTTTAATTGTCTGATAAAGCTAGAGAAATTATTGTGCTTGAAAAAGGTAGGGAGCAACAATCTGGCGAATTCTGGAGGGTTCCAAACAACAAAGCTGTTTTTATTCGAACTCCAAGACACGATCTCGTCGGTCGATGAATCATCCACCATGTCATATGTCTTTACCAAGAACGGCGCCGGTCCTCCTCCTCCACCACCACCTCCTGTGGTAGCTGACGAGGGTCCTGCTTCCATTTTGATTGTTCTGTCGAAGACAAGACGAGTACGTGTTGAATTTTGGGAATGTATTTGGAGAAAGTGGAGCCTATGTTATTCTTGTTGTTGTCCAGTTCGTTAGTAGATGTTTTTAATGTGACACGTCAGTTTTTTGAGTACTTATTTTAGTATTTTTGTTTTGAAGATGCTAAATGGAAAATTAAAAAATATATTATTTTAATTTTTTAATGTTTATTTTATACATTTCAAACATTGTACTAAACAAAATGTTATTTTATTATTATTTATTTTATAAAAATACAATTCCTATAGTTCTAGTAAGAATATCAATTTTTTTCACTAATTTTTTTTAAAAATCTATATATTTTTTTATTTTTTATAAGATTATTCTGATTTTATTAGTCATGTCATGATTCTGAATGAATCAAGTTATTTTTTAATTATTTTTTTAATTTTATGATTTAATATTAGGTTGATTGAAAATCATTTAGATTGTTTTTAAATATGTCAAGTCAACCTAGTCATATCAAGTTTTTTATCAAATATACTAAAATACAATTAACTTTTTTAAAAAGGTTTTTATCATTTGAGTAAAGATAAATAAAAAAAATATTTATACTATTTAATAAACTATATTATCAATTTTTCTTTTCTAAATAGCATCTCCCCATTAAATTATAAAATGAGTTTTGTTTTTCCTTTAAAAAACAACAAAGAAAAAGATCATGATTATATATATAAAAAATTCATATAAGTCAACCCATGTTAATTAATTTTTTCTTTTTTAAAAAAACCTACTTCAAGTTTAATAAAAATAAAAAGTAATAAATAGCTTATAACAGATAATAAAATGAAAAAAAAATTTCAGTTTAGTTTTGTTAAACCAATCTGCTCTCCACCCCAATATCTAAAGTTCAAATCTTAAATTGTTATAAAATTAAAATTAAAATCATACATAGTTATAAAATCATCAAATAATATTATAATATTTGAGAATTAACTAGTTGTATTATATCAATTTTTTTTTATATAAAAAAACCATTCTTAAAAAAAATCTATAAGAGAGAAAGTTTAGATATAGATATTTTTATTGTTTTTTATGGTTCTACATTTTATTTTCTCTCTTTTGTATATTTCTTTTCAAAATAAATCTAAAATAATAATTAATAAGATATTATTGATTACTCATTATGTATCATAAAAAAATTACTATATAAAAAATATTTAAAAAAAATGCATTTGAACCTAACTAAAAAAAGCATCATAAAAAATGAATAAATGGTAAAAAAAATAATAGACAGATATGTTTTTCTTTTAGGATTAGATTTTTTATATTAATTGTTACATACTTAAAAATATAAAAATTTATATAGAAAAAATAATTAATGGGTAGAAACTTAAAATTATATACTCAATTTTTTTAGATTGTATTATATTAGGCATCCTCGAAATCAAATCCTTAAGACAATTGACCAAACATGAATGCTAAGTTTGCTGAGGGTAATATCATAGCGGACTCCATTCCATACAAACCTCATAATTTTAAAAAAAGTTTTTTCAAAGATAAAGTTTTGA